TTTCAATATTTTCAACATCAGGGGCAGCAGTAGCCTCTTTAACGTCTTCAATATCAGATCTAAGAGTGGTCTTTTCAATAGCTTCCGAAACAGATGTAGACTCTTCGATATCGGCTTCGGTTCCTGGCGCAGCCGTAATATTTGCAATGTCTTCAACTGTGGCTGCACTTGTTGCAGTAGTACCTCTCTCAGGCTCTTCACCTTCCACTTCTGGTGCAACTGTAACCTTTTCTTCTTTTTTAGCGGTGCCATCTTCTTCGCCAGTTGCAACAGTTGCAGCCTCTCCGCTACCTTCGCCCTCTTCGCTTTCAGTAGCTGCGGTGACTCCCGCAAGTGCGTCAATGGCAGGAGCAGCAGTAGACTTTTCACTATCCCCAGAAATAGGAGCCGTGGTAGACTCCTCCGTTTCCTTTTCACTTTCAAGATCGGGTTTGAGAGTGAATTCCTCCTCTCCAGCGACCCTTTCAGGTGCAGGTGAGGCCTTTTCGATGTCTCCTTCTGTCCCAGGAGCAGCTGTTCCTTCATGCACAGCATCTTCCAAATCAAGTCGTGGAATTCCAGTGAATGATGCGATGCCCTCTTCATCAGTACTTTGTTCAACTTCAAGGGCACTCTCTGTAGCACCAGGGGCACCCACAACAATCGGAGAAAGTGTAGTCCTTTCGCTGCCTTCAGCAACTGGAGCAAGAGTTGTCTTCTCAATGTCCTTGATGTCGGGACGAGCAGTAGCCTCTTTGTGTTCCTCGGCAGTAGGGGCGGCAGTAACCTTTTCAATTCCTTCATCACTGATAGCAGGAGTACTTTTCTCAATTTCCGAGTCAATTGGAGAAGTAGTGACTTCAGCTACTTGTTCTTCATCAGGCTTAGCTGGTTTCTCTTCCTCTTCGACACCTGGTGCGGCCGTGGCTATCTCGCCTTCTTTGGCAACATCGGCGTCAGGAGTAGCAGTAACCTTTCCAATTTCTTCGAGGACTGGGGCTGCGGTGGGCTTTTCAACTTCTTCACCGCTAGGAGCAGCAGTAGACTTCTCAGCGTCTTCGATACCAGGGGCGGCTGTTGGCTGCTCAGTTTCTCCGACAGCTGGAGCAAGAGTGACTTTCTCTCCTTCATGGATTTCTGGCTCTGCAGTAGCTTCTTCAATTTCATCAATGCCTGGAGCAGTAGTGGACTTCTCGCCTACTTCTTCATCTTTGTCTTCCTTCACAACAGGTACAACGGTAGTGCTCTCGCTTTCTGCGCTAAGAGGAACAGAAGTTGACTTTTCGGCTTCCACGGCACTTTCGGTAGTAGACTTCTCGACAGCCTCAGCAACAGTAGCGGTAGTAGAATGTACAGGTTGTTCGGCATCAGGTACTGCGGTGACGTTCCCGCTTTCTTCAGTGTCCGGAGCAGCTGTACCTTTCTCAACGTCTGAGCTAGGAGCAGGTGTAGTCTTTTCAATTTCTTCGATGCTTGGGCCAGCAGTAGCTTTCTCTGTTTCAATTTCTTCGGCCGCGGCACCCTTCTCACCCTCAGTAGTTTCTGGTGCAGCTGTGACCTTTTCTTTTCCTTCATCAAGCTCTGGTTCGCCAGCAGTGGTAGCAGAAGTGACTTTTTCAACATCTTCCAGATCCGGAGTAAGAGTGGTGGATGCTCCTGCGTGCTCGTCAGTCTTTTGGCTATCATCATAAGCAGGAGCAGAGGTAGACTTCTCCACTTCTTCTGCAGCTGAAGTACCTGCTTCAACATCACCAAGATCAGGAGCAGCAGTTGCTTTTTCAATTTCTTCTGAAACTGTAGACTCCTCTTCTGGCGCCTTTTCTTCCTGCTTAATGCCCGGCGCAATTGTGGCCTTTTCAGTTTCTGCAATTTCCGGGGTAGCAGTAGATTTGTCCTCAGATATTTCACCTTCAAAAACAGGTGTAGTTGTGATCTTTTCAGCTTCCTCGATGGATGGTGCAGCTGTAGTGGTTCCAGCTTGTTCAGCTCCCTTTGCTGGAGCAACTGTAGCTTTCTCCGTTTCAGTTTCGTCAACTGGTGCTGCGGGTGAAACTGGCACTTTGTCGCTGGCCTTTTCTGGCACTGCTTGCGCACTTGGCGCAGCAGTGGCCTTCTCAATTTGTTCATTATCTTCAGTAATCAAGGCGGATTGATCAATCTTTGGTGTTGCCGTACTCTCCCCGATTTCTGTCACGTCTTCTTCCTTGACATGTGACATTGGCTGCTCAGTAGGAACAGCAGGTATGTCAATATCTGAGAAGGGAGCAATTGTTGGTTGGTCGTCTTCCGGTGCAATAGGTGCCGCTGTGGTTTCAATGCCATGTGGTTCACAGATAAATGAGGGACAGCATTTGTCGGTGCTCGCTTGATCGATAATGCACTTGCTAATGTCTATCGGCACATCGCACTCAATTTTATTACAGACCACGATGCTGCTAATACACTTGCAAGAGATATCACATTCATCTGCTGTCGGAATGCTAGTATTATTTCCGTATGTTCTATGGCCGACCAAACAGTCTCCTTCCCCGGGAATAACAGAAGGCAGTTGCATATCTGGCACTTCCTCTTCGGTGCTGGAGGCTTCCGTTGATTTTTCCGTTGATAATTCAGCTTCTGCCGATTCGGTTGATTCTTCGCCGCTACCTTGCTCTGAGCTGATTTCAGTGCTTGCTTGTTGCTCTGAAGCTTCCTCGGACACAATTGCAGTTGGTTTCTTTGTAGTAACATCAATTTCCTCTGACTCTGTCGATTCTTCTGAGCTTTCCTTTTCGACGGTTGGTCGCACAGTTGTGGTAGGTTTTTCGTGATCCGTTGCGGCCCCTTCAGAGGACTCTGTAGATCTCTCTCCCTCAGGAACCTCAGCACTGGTTTCGTGACTAGTTTCCTTATCTGATTTTGTTGGTGAAGGTACAGTGGTTGGAACCACAGACACTTCTGGAAGTGGAGTTGCTTCTGCTTCTTCGCCGCTGGGCTTAGAAGTTCCGGCATCAATTCCTTCGTCGAATTCGGCTCCTGGTTTTTGTTCCTCTCCTCTAATAGCAGGCACTGTAGTAGCCTCCGTTTCCTCACTGCTGGGTTTGGAAGTATCAGCATCAATTCTTTCGCCGAACTCAACTGCAGGTGTCTGCCCTTCTGCTGTAATAGCCGGCACCGTGGTAGCCTCCGGTTCTTCGCTACTGGGTCTGGAAGTTTCAGCATCAATTCTTTCATCGAATTCAACTGCAGGTTTCTGGCCCTCTCCTCTAATAGCCGGCACTGTGGTGGTTTCCGCCTCTTCGATGGTAGGTCTGGAAGTTTCAGCATCAATTCTGTCCTCGAATTCAAACGCAGGTTTCTGTTCATCTCCTCTAATAGCAGACACTGTTGTAGCCTCCGGTTCTTCGCTGCTGGGTCTAGAAGCTTCAGTATCAATCCTTTCGTCGAATTCGACTGCGGGTTTCTCTTCCACTTCCTTAATAGCCGGTACTGTGGTAGCTTCGGCTTCTTCGCTGCTGGGCTTGGAAGTGGGCACTTCTTCTGTGGCAGCAGGTTTAGCTGTAGTCTCCGCATGATCGTCAATATCCGTGCTAATACGTTTAGTACCCTCAGGTTCTGCTGTGGCTTCTGAAATAGGCTCAACTGCGTCGGTACTTGTTGGCTCTTCTTTTTCCTTCTGCTTCTCGGTTGTTTCAGATGAAACTTCAGATTTAACTGTTGTAGCGCTCTCGGTCGAACTTTCGCTTTCAGCTTCTTGTGTTTCAGCGGCAGTCACTGCTGCTCCAGTGACATCAATTGCCAGATCCGGAGGTGCAGTAGTAACTTGATCGGCCGGTTTCTCTTCATCTTCGTCAATGTGTGTTTGTAGTTGAATATCTTCCTCTGGTATGGCACCGTGCAGATCCTTGTCCGCGGATGCAGTAACCGCTTCTTCTTCCTTCGCATACGGCGGAGTTGTCACCTCAATGATTTCTGTAGTGGCTGAATCGTCCTCACAGACATAATTGCTTGGACAGCATTCACCCTCTGCTGGCGGCAGTGCATGACAGCTCTTACCATTGCTAGATAGCATTGGCATGTCGCATTCTTGAACGGCACAAACAATATCTCCACGCATGCAGTAGCAGTGTTCGCAGGCACTCTTGCCAGTAATGGAGGCGCCATCGGCATAAACATCGCCATTGTGCACACAGTCTGCGGAGACCGATGGGGTCATGGTGGTAGTGAGAATGAAGCCAGGCGTTGGGCGCTCTGTGGTTGTGGTCGATGTGGTGGACGAGTGATCCTCCAGCTCCAAAACGTCATTCTCGTGATCTATACGAAAGAATATGAAAAATAAAAATTAAATAAATTTCACTAAATACCTACATACGCGAACGTAGCCTAACTTACCGCAATTGTAACGCACTGGACAGCAAGATCCCTTATTGTAGATCGGTGTGCAACCATCAATGTGCAATGTACATTCCTGCATTAGACATGACGTGCGATTCTTAATGCAATAACACAGCTCGCATGGTTTATTAGGATTTGATGGTACTTGTGCGCCTTCGGGGTAGAATTTGCTATCGATGCTGCAGCCATATTTCTCGGGTATGCTTAGCTCTGTGCCGGGCTCAGATACATGATGCGCAACATCGACAGGAACTTCGGAAGAAAACGAGAAAAAAATAGAATACAATGATGCAAAGCAATTGCATGGAAACTTACCCTCGGGGCATGTGATAATTGGACAGCATTGATCCTCACGCTTTTCAACGATGCAATCGTGTCCAATTGGTTTCGTAAATGGGCAAACACGCAGATAACACATCAGCATCTTATTGTGGCAGGTACAATTCAGGCAGGGCTCGTTCGTTAATATTCTATCGCCTTCATTGTAGTGATTGTAATTGTAGTAACAGCCTTCTGAAAAATTGATACAGAGGCGAGAAAGAGAGGTAAGTAACAATGCTGTTGAATTGATTACGTGTGAAATTTTACTACTACATAAGAACCGAAGAAGAAACAAATAATAAAATATTGTATCTTTTAAGAAACTCGAAAAGGATAAAGGAAGTTCTGAATGTAAGTATCTTCCGAGGTAAGGTAAAATTATTCTAAGGCAAAAAATGTTATATGGACCCATACATAGTCATAGCTACAAGGCGACTAACAACACTACGTGCCGAAAGGTATGCTACACCAACTAGTACTACAACCGGATACAAGGCGCATGTACACAAATCTGTGCAAAGCTGCATGTGCAAAAAATTCATCTAAGAAATTATGCGCATACACATCTCAAATGCGACTTAACAAAACTTGCTAAAGTAGTAAGTTTATGGCATACCAAATAATTTTTTAATTGAATACATTTTGTGTAAATACATTTATCCTGGGCTTCCCCTCTGACTGAGATAATAAGTTACAATTATGTACTTGATTCAGCCATGAAAATCACAATGCACCCTTTCTCTTAGGTACACAAAACCAGGAATCATGCGTCATCTACTACATCTAGCACGTAAAGAACCCCAAATTCGTCGCCATCACGACGCCTAGAACAAACCAGGCAATTTCAAATGTCAAGGTCAGGTAACCGAATCCAGCGGCCACGAAACATGGCTCCAGCAGAAGGCAATTTATATGGAAATGAGGATGTTCCTTGATCATAGTATGAGAAATGTCATGAATCACGTTGTCGTAGACAGAAACACGTTTCCAGTATTCTAGTCTTGCGTACGATTCGGGGGTCAAAGAGTGACTCAAATCACTAACTGGTGAAATGTTGCAATTACAACAAACCCTTGACTCCCATATCTGCCCTATGAGAGCACTCTTCAACAAACCGTTATATCTTTCTTTACTTTACTTTTCTATGACGGACATCTAATTGAATTTCATAGAACCCGTAAGAACACTCCGTTGTCTAGAAAAAAGATGTCGCCTAGAGGAAGATGGTGAAATCGAGCGTAATACGAGCTACATATGTACATATGTATATGGGATCGATAACCTGGGGAACTGAAAAGGGGAAGCGATACATAAATATTTTCCTCAGTAAAGAGAAAGAAGCCCAAATAAGCGAGTTCGAGGAGTTTAAGGTGCTGGCCGACCGAAAAAGACTTCCAAAAACTCAAGGAAGCTTACGAGATCATCGAAACTACCTGTAAGAACAAACAAGGCTACCTATTGACCTGTGTTTAAAGCGTTCCTTAATTGTTGATGGCATAATTGTCCACATTGCTGAATGGCATTGAAACCAGTTGAGAAAATAAGCACGAGCCGGTACGACTATGACGAGATAATAATAACAATTTCGCGGCTAAAGAACAACAAAGCTGCGGAAGCCTGATGTGAAATATGGTCGGACGAACGCATGTCTGCAAACTGAAATTTTAGTGTGCTCACCCCAAAATCACAGTAAGGGCGCCTACAACTTGGTATCGAGCGTAATGTATGAAAGGTTGAAGCGCACGGTGAACGGACTAATTGGGTCTTCCCAGAGTGGCTTTAGGCATGGTAAGTCCACCATAAAACGGATATTCTCCCTATGTCAAAACTCGGAAAAGACCCGCAAGAGAATGATCGAAAGTCATCGACTCTTCACCGGTTTTAAAGAACGAAAAAGAATTGCCTATCCGAAAATGATCTCCGACCGGACCGAAACTATTCCACGCGATACCCGATGGTGGTAGCAAATCAAGAGAACGGCCTCCTCTGCGTTGAAAAGATCAGGTGGAGGGGCTTTGGCTCACTTGGAATTCCCAGTTAATTTGGCATAAGTTTGCAAAAGAGGCAGGGCCACAACCAATTATAGCTTTTTTAATAAAAGTCTACAAAAAAAATCTTTTCTTGATATAAAATTACAGCAAACAAATATTTTTTGTCAAAACTAAAAGTATTGGCCAAACAGCGACCAAACCGTTAGTCCTATTAAATTAATTTGGTCTTAATCGTATGTTCTTAACTTATAGAATTCAAATATACACTCTCAGCAGAAAGTATTGACCCAGAGAATTTTTTACAATATATGCAAATTTTTATTTTTATTTTTTTCGTTTTTTTCAATAAATTTTCATGCTTTGCATTTTCAACTTTTTGGCCAGATTTTGTAGAGGTTTTTTGAATATGTAGTTGTTAACCTATTAAAATTTAATAAAATAAAGTGTAAGTTTGAAGTAGCTAGGACTTGCCGTTGATTTTTGGCACATCTTCAAAAAAAAAATAAAATCTAAAAAATTAAATTAAGCCACTTAAAATTTGTTTCATTATTGTTCCGAAAATTGTACTAAATTTCTTTATTTAAACGGTTTACTTGTTCCTTGGCAAAGCCTTTTATTTTTGTTAAAAAAACCAATATTTGGGTACAGTTTTAACAGTAAGGATTGTACTTTTTTCAAAGTTAGAAAAATAAAAAGTATCGTTGATCCTTGTAGAGGGCATGATGAAAATGACAAGTACATTAACAAATGTCTTCCACGAAAAGTTTTAAACCTTGACTTTTTAGTTTTTGAAATACATCATAACAGTTATTTTCGGTCCCTGAAAATAGGTGTTTACTGGTGTGCTTCATTTTACTTAGCCATAACTTTGCCGTCACAGCGCCAAATAAGAATAATAAATTTATCTGAGAAATCATTTTTGAATCTGACTAATAAATCCTGTTTGCAGAAAAGGCCACGAAATTTCTATAAAATAGTTTTCCGTTATTTCCTAATTGCATTCAAAATTTGAACATTTGAACATATTCTGAATAACCTGTATATATACATATGTACATGCTTAATATGTATGCGCAAAAAGGCTTCATTAAATAATTGATATTTACTGTGACTTGTTCAAAGCTCACGATATATTATAATTAGTAACGTATGTGCATAATGTAATTATAATTGCAAGTAATGTGTCAGCAATCCACATTCGCAGTGCAATAAATTAATGAGCTATGTATTTAGTCGTACATCACGAGACCACATTAATTTCAAAGTTTTCAAACATGTCTGTATGTATGCATGTAAATAATGTGACAAAATGATTAGTGTAAATATATACAAACATACATTGAATAGGCCTTGGTAGCTACCCTAACTCGTATGCATAACTCAAACGCACGTCGGCACACATGTCCAATAACAAAAAGTGTAAAAAGCATAAAAGTTAATTTACGATTTGTTTATTTGTGTACGTAAGAGAATGTGAGCGCCGTTGACGGACATCAGCACGAGTTGTACACGCTAATTTATAGATTATTTTTATTATTTGGTAACAAGGAGACAACGAAGTAATATACAAATGAGTTCTCATAACTCGAAAGAAAACAAATCGCTCGACAGTTCAATAAGTGCCATAAAAATTAAGAAAAAACGTATTTTTACGAATTGAGAGCGGGTGCTGTCGGCGGCGCATTGAGCCAGTATGAGCTTTACCACAAAGCTGGGATGGAAAACGAAATTTTTAAATTGTATTTAATTTGTACCTAAAAGAATACGAATGTAACTAGAAAATTATGATGTACATTTTGTTAAACATTTCGGCAAAGCAGTTTGACAATACGAAAACACTAGGAAATCTGGCTCTACTACGCCATGCCTAATTTTAGGATTCACCTACTCAATATGTTAAGCTCGGTTGGTACGGAAAAAAACTTTTGCGACTAAAAAAAGTTTTAGACCAGGCGAATCATTCTCGTCATGCGTCAAACCCTTTCTAATGACTGGGCTGCTGAGAGGTATTTAGATATACGACATAACTTACTTTACCTTTACGCTAGCTTTAAGAAAGACAAAAAAAAAAACGGGAAAACGGGGCCTTCTAAACAAACATAAATTAACCTTGACAAATTAGAAAGCTGACAGTTACAGCAAATTTCTGATCATATGTATGCCAGATTTGTTGCCATTGGGATTTTGCGAGTAAAGATCAGGTTGATGCTTCTGCAATTGGTTGCTATAACTGCAAGGAGAAAAGGCCAGGAGAGTACCAGGTACTCATGAAATTTGATGTGTAAATAACTATGCCCTGAATTGTTCCCAAAATGGTCCTTAAACAGACTTGTGCTCGAAATGATCTCGAATTACTCCCGAAGTATTCCTGAACTAACCTCGAAATGATAGCAAACTAGTCCCGAAAATATTCTGAACAAGTCTCGAAATAGTACTGAAACAGCCAGGGACATCTCACGAAATGATTCTGGACAAGGACCTGAAATGTTCCTAAAATAACCCGATATGTTACTTTGTATACACAAGAAGCAATCACAGATTTTATCCTGGGTTACAGTTGCAAACTTTCTGCTGGGTTATCATCAAAAATTCTGGAAAATTTGTTTGGTTTTGTTGTTAATGTACCGAAAATATGTATGTACTTAATGTGTTTTCAGATTAAAAAAGCGCTGGAAAAAGTACAATTGTACCAACTCTTCCATCACTGTCACAGACCGCCTAACATACTCATGATCTTGACAGGCGATGAATTAACCGATGACCGATCGCGGCAAGATAAGGTGGTGGGGCTATTGTGATTTTCACAGCTTCGTGAGATTATGGGAAAATGAATGAATTCAGGTTTTAAATGGATTGCGGTCTAGCAGCTTGTGCGCCTAATTGTTATACTTTTTTTTTAGAGTTATAAAGGTGGCAGCAATTGCCACATAATGACACTTTAAATGTTTAACAAGCTTCCAATTTACTCCCAAAATGTAGAAAAAATTTTTCATCCACTCATAGTAACCATACATCCATACATGAAAACCAAAAGTGAAAAGTGAACCGGTTCGGGAAAAATGAAACTCTGCTTACGCGGAAACTACACAAGATTTTAGCACCAAATTTATACACAATGTGAAGCATGATGCAACGAGTAATTCTGCATAATTTCCTCAAAAGTTTAGTTTTTTGTGTTATGGCAGTCTTTTAGTAAACGAGCGATATATGTATGTATACTATGTAGGTGTGACTGTCAACTCATTGTTCGTTTAATTCATTAACTCCGTCGTTTCGTTTCTTTAATTGTACACTGGTTTCAACAGCTCAATTGTTTTTACATTAACAACTCAATTGTTGTAAACTGTGCTTCGTTATTTGTACATAAA